AAGATGCAGAAAACCGGGGACTTCCCTGGTGGTGCTGTGGCTAAGACTCCGTGCTCCCAATGCAGGGGACCCAGGTTTGATCCCCAGTCAGGGAACTAGCTCCCACATGCTGCAACTGAAAGATCCCTGAAGCCACAATGATGATCAAAGATCCCGTGCTGCAACTAAGGCCCAGAAAAGCCAAGTAAATAAGTTTTTGAAAAAGAAATGTATAGGAAACCACTATTAGCAGAAAGTGTTCACTAATTGAATATGTAGAGAGAAGAAAAGCTATGACAAACCTAGACAGCATATTAAAAAGCAGAGACATCACTTTGCCAACAAAGGTTCATCTAGTCAAAGCTAAGGTTTTTCCCAATAGTCATGTATGGATGTGAGAGTTGGACCATAAAGAAAGCTGAGTGCCAAAGAATTGATGCTTTTGAACTGTGGTGGTGAAGACGACTCCTGAGAGTCCCTTGGACAGCAAGGAAATCAAACCAGTCCATCCTAAAGGAAATCAGTCCTGATATTCATTGGAAGGACTGATGCTGAAGCTGAAACTCCCAATACTTTGGCCACCTGATGTGAAGAACTGACTCACTGGAAAAGACCTTGATGCTGGGAAAGATTGAGGGCAGGAGGAGAAGGAGGTGACAGAGGATGAGATGGTTGGATGGCACTGTTGACTCAATGGACATGAGTTTGAGCAAACTTTGGGAGATAGTGGAGGACAGAGGAACCCGGCGTGCTCAGTTCAGGGGGTTGCAAAGAGCCAGACATGACTCTGCGCTGAACAACAACAGCAACAGAGAAAGGAACAGAATTGCCTACAACAGACAATTGACATGTGCTAGGCATTGGGGATGCAAAAATAACTGCGACCATCTTTTCCCTCAGAGTTGTCTGACTAATGTGGAAACAGAAGGGTCTAGAAAATGAGAGAGTGTGCAAAATGTGATGACAGGAGTGTGCACAAGCAGCAGAGAGAAGGATCCCCAGGAAGAATCAGAGAAGACTCCCCAGAGGAAACTTGAGTCTCAAATGCTGGTGAGCAGTTCTGTTGCCTGAGAACTAAGTGGGGCTCCAGGACACAGACTTAGGAATCAGAGAGTTGTAGATTCCCATGCTGGCCCTGCTGCCTGCTAATCTCAGAAAATCTGTTCACCCATTGTTTAAAAAAAAAAATGACAAAGAGAGACTTTCCTGGTAGTCTAGTGGTTAAGATTTCACCTTCAGGGGGCGGGGGCATGTGCAGTTTCGACTCCTGATTGGGAGCTAAGATCCCACCTGCTGTCAGTCAAAAAACTGAAAGACCCAGAGGGATCGGGTGGAGAGGGAGGTGGGAGGGGGGACAGGGATGGGGAATACATGTAAATCCATGGCTAATTCATTTCAATGTATGACAAAAACCACTGCAATGATGTAAAGTAATTAGCCTCCAACTAATAAAAATAAATGAAAAAAATAAAAAATAAAAAAAAACAAAAAAACAAAAAACTAAAAAAAATAATAAATAAATAAATAAATAATAAAATAAATAATAAAAAAAATAAAATAAAATAAAACTGGAAAAAAAAAGAAACATTGTAACAAAGTCAATAAAGACTTTAAAATTGGTCCACATCAAAAAAAAATCTTAATTAAAAAATAAATCCCTGGGTTGGGAAGACGCCCTGGAGAAGGGAAAGGCTACCCACTCCAGTTTTCTTGCCTGGAAAATTCCATGGACTATGTAGTCCATGGGGTCGCAAAGAGTTGGATACGACTGAGCGACTTTCACACTTTCTCACACTTCACTTTCATCTCCTCCTAAGTGCTTGGTAATTGGGTTTTGCTTTCACTTTATGTTTAGTATTCCTCAAATGCAGGCCTCCTTCTGCAATGTCCTGTGTCCATTAATGGCATTATTTAGTAAGCCAAAAACTTGACTGACATTTTCAAGGCCTCTTCACCTTTGCATTAGTCCCCAGATCCAGTTTACAGCACCTAGGCCTCCTCAATGTCTCTCAACTTCAACATCATCCCTTACCTGTACCACCTTGGCAACTCCTTCAGTGGTCTCCCTGCCTTCCATTGTCTCCTTCAGTCCATTTCTTTCAAACACTTAAATAAAACCATGAAATCTCCAGCTTACACTCATGGGTCCCTTCCAGCCACATCTCCTTTATTTCCTCTCTACCCCTGTCCTGCCTGTCACCTCTCTCAGTGTCTGCTCTTCCCATCATCTACTACTGTACTGTACATCTAGTACTGTTCCATGACTTTGCCTAAGTGGGTCCGTTTGCCTGAAATGAATGTCTTCCCTTTCATCCCTGACTGCAAAACTCTAATTCATCCTGCAAGACCCAGTTCAAAAGCCCTCTCTTGCAGAAAGCTTTCCCAGACTTGCTGGCTGTTAGAGGCTCCCTCCTCTGGTCTCTTCAGCCCCCTGGGTGAATAGGCCTACCTTTGTGCCATAACTTTGTGTTTATGTGACTCGCTAAGCCAGATGGGAGCAACTCAGGACTGGATCTAATCCTTCACATGTCCATGGAGCCCAGCACAACTACCTGGGCCACAACACCCTAAGGAGACTCCCCCCATCAGCTCCTCCATCGGCCCCACACGGTGAGATTTTAGACATCACGTCTGCAGCGGGATGCCTGCACAGTCTCAGATGCTGCCTGTCCTCTGCCATTCACTCCTATATACCTCTTGGTCCCAGCAAGCCTGGCCTAGTTTCTGGGAAAACATGTAGACTCATAAAAAGCTGTATAATGTAGAGGGTTAAACTTAGACTCAGCCACTTCCTGGCTTCATGATTTGGGGTACGTTGTTGAACCTCTCCAAGCCTCAGTTTTTTCATCTGTAAAATGGAGTTGATAGCAACACCTGCCTCATAGGATTGCTCTGAGTATTGTCTAGTTCAAAATTCACCCAGGTCCCCACTTTCGAACCTCAGGATGATAAAGTCACTCAGCCAATGTCTCTCTTGGCAAGCCTGGGGATAACAGACTATGAGCAGTTCTAGGTGAAACTTGAGAGAGCCAAACAATTTTAGTGTTCCCAAACCTGGCCAGCATCAGAATCACCTCGTTTGGTAAAAACTTATCCAAGGGCAAGGATTCTAGTCACTTTGTCTTACATCAGAGCCCTCTTCTCCTCCCAGTGGATAGAGGACCTCTTGCTTTTCAGGCGGCCTTCCAAACCAGCCTCTAAAATATCTGCTCATGCCACTCTCCTGTTCAAAACCCCTCCGTAGCTCCCCATGGCCCTCAGGACCCAGGCCCACCTTCCTCAAACTGACCCAAAAGCCCAGCATGATCAAGCCTCTGCACTCCCAATGCCCCGCTCTCCTCCAGGGTTTTGCACAGCTCTTCTCTGATCTCGTACATTCTTCACAACCCTCTTTCAGGGGCTAATACCTAGTCATCTCTCCAGCACTCACCCTTACAATGTAACTGCTTGCTTACTTATCTATTTTTCCCATACAGCTGCTAGCACCGTAAGAGTAGAAACTTGTTCAGGGCTATCTTCATGGTGATGGACAGGGCCAACCGTGGTTCTTGATAAATACTTGCTGAATAAATGAATGAGAAGAACTGGCTAGTCCAGAGTGACCCAGAAGAGCAGGCAACCCCACGGGAAGATTCTTCCTCCTGCCTCAAGGTGACACGGCAGCCTGAGGACTGGAAAGATGACATTGTGGGAAGGAGCTGCCATCTTTTTCTGGGCTCAGAAGGCTATAGAGCTAAAAGCTCAGGATTAACATTGGACAGACTTGGGTCAACGCTCTTAGCTCTGCCTGTGACTTTGGCCTGAACACTTGATCTCTCCTGAGCTCCAGCCTTCTCATCTGTTAGAAGATTGAGCTACATTCATGTAAAGCACTCACATCTTGCCTGACCCACAGCAAACATCCAAATAACATTAGGTTTGGGATGCCACTTAGCTTCCCAGGAAAGTGCTGTTCTCTCTTTTGTTCCCCATCAATGTGCCCATGCAGTAGAGGCATCAGAAAATGTGATGGCACAGAACGGAACAGCTTCCAGAGCAGAGAGAACACTGGCTTTTTAGGGAAAAGAACACCAATATTTGTTCATATCGAAGAACAGCAGCCCTCCCCGTTTATGAAGCACACGCTTCCCTCTCGGGGGGCGGGGTGGGGGGTGGGAAGCCCAGGGAACTGGAAGGCATAAAGGAAACCAGGCTGAACAATATTTTCTCCCCAAGGAAGCCCCTTTCCCCCATCTGGCCCACAAAACCCCGCTCTCCCCAGATCAAGAATGTTGGCTCGGGCCTCCCCACCCCCCCACGCACGCACGCGGAGAAGTGGCTTCTTCTGGAGAGAGCAGCTGGCTCAAGTGCAGTTCTGCCGTTTTATTTTTCCTGGGATACTCAAGGGGATGTGGGAACAGCCACAGGTGTGGTGAGGGGAAGCCCCCATCTCCCCTCCCCAGCAGCTGGGGAAAGGGGAGAGGCCCAGGCGCCCTGGTCCTGGGTTGGTCCAGCCACTGTGGTCCCTGGGCCCGGTGGGCTGAGGGCTCAGGGGAGCGCCCCTGGGACGGTGGGGCGGGCTCCTAGGCGGGGTTCGGGATTCTTCATAAAAAGCCACGAAGCTTGATTTCCCCACGAAGCCCAGCCCCGCGGGGTGGGGGGGGAGGTGAGGAGAAGGGGGACGCAGAGCCCAGATGGGGGACCCGGCCCGGCCTGGCCCGTGGGGGGTTGGGGGGAGGGGTAATGGCAGAGATGGTGCCCGTGGGGAGGAGGTGGGGACGAAGCGTCGGACCTCGAGGAAGAGGGGTCCCGGTGGGGGCACAGGGCGGAGAGGCACGGCCCCCAGCCCAGCCCGGGCGCCTTCGCGTGGGGTCAGGAAGGTAAAAAACCCACGAGCGCATGACGGGCCGGAGGGGCCGGGGCGTGCGGTGCCGGCGGGGCGGGCGCACGGGGCGGCCCGCGTTCACAGTGACCTCGACGCTGGGTGTACAGTACGGGTAGAAAACCGCGGGCCCGGGCCCGGGCTGGGCGGGCCGGGCCGGTCACAGCCTGGTCTGGGCCTCGGGGATGTAGATCTCGATGCTGTCGGCGCTCTCGGTGGCCGAGCTGTGGCGGAAGGAGGCGGCGCGCTTGGCCGCCAGGAGCCGCTTGCGCGCTTCCTGCCGCTGCCGGTCCACCGAGTCCAGGGAGCGCTCCTTCACCGGCACACCCCGGCCCCGCGAGGGCTTCTTTGGTATCGGCGGAGGGACCTTCTTCTCCTCCTGCCGGCAGAGGGGCGGCGCTTAGCTTGGGGGCGGGGTCCCGGCCGACTCCCCACCTCGCTCCCCCGCGGCCCCGAGGGGTTCACAGCGCACACCTCTGACTCGTGAGCCAGGCTCTCGAGAGCGCGTGCGGGCCCCCCGAAGCCCCAGGGGTGCCTGTTCTGCCAAGGTCAAACCCACATTTTTCATCTTTAAAAAAAGGTGGACTCGTGCGCCCCCTGGTGGAGCCGTTTTCCACCTCTCGCATCAGAGAGAGGGTTCTCTTCCTCGCGGGGAATGGATGGATGCTCTCCTTCCAGACCCAGGGGGAGTGCAGCTCCCCTGACCTGGGCAAGACAATGGGGGTTCACATTCCAAGCTGCTGGGCCCCATCTCTATGACGGTCTACTGAGATGAGGGCTGAAGGTCCCCTCCGTGCCTAGAGCCAAGCTGAGGGCAGTCTGCCACTCTGACTTCCTCAAACTACAGCTGTAGCTTTCTTTGGTAAAGAAAGGGGCTCTTGCAGCTCAGCAGTGATGAGGTGGTTCTTGCCTTGGAACCAAGCAGAGGGCAATGACCCAGAGGGTGGTCTAGAGGGTCCCCATCACCTGTTCAGGGCTGCCTTGGCTGGCCAGGGTCTCTTCTCCTGCTTTCCTCTCCCCTGCCCACACTCTCTGGGGAAGGGCATTTCCCAGGATTTGGACTCTTGGCTTGAAGGGCCCTCCCCCCACCTTAGGCTCCAGGAGTTTCCAGCTGTTGGCCTTGAGTTGCTGTAGCTCCAGGAACTTGAGGGTCACATCCTCGATGGAGAGCTGCAGGAGGTCCCAGAAACCCGCCAGGTCCTGGAAGGTGGGCACAGGGAACGCAGTGGGGTCCTGCAGTGGAAGGAGTCAGAGGGGAGGCAGCCAGTCAGAGGGGCCTGAGCCCCAGCCAGGAGCTGAGAAAGCCCACCCCACCCTCACTGTCCAGAAGTTCAGTCTGGGAGAGTGGAGTGGGGACTGGGAGGAGGGAGCCCAGAGCGAGCCCAGAGCTCTCCGTCATGGGCACAAACGCCTGGTCCCACCCGCCCCCCCAGGCACCCATGCGCTCTGGTCACCTACCAGGCACACACACCTGGGGCTCCAAGCCCACGACCACTCACCATGCTCTGCTGACACAGCCGGAAGAACTGCTGAACCTTTTGGGACAGGAGAAGTTGTGTGCTGCCCACGGCACTGCGGATTTTCTCCAGGACTGGAGAGCAAAAGGAGATGGGGGAGGGGAATGATGCCTCTCCTTCCTCTGCCTCCAGGAAGTCTGCCTGGGATGACTCTGACCCCTCTTGTTATCTGGCATCATCTATCCGTAGGCTGTCTCCTCCGGCCCCTCCCCATCCCATATACTCAAGATTCTAACAAGCAACTCCTGTGCCACTTCACCAAGAAGACTGACTCCCCAGACACTGATGTTTCTTCCATCATACGATCTACATTTCTTGACTGGCTATCCTCCTGTGTCCTCTTGCCTCCCATGTCAGAGGAGAGATGGAAATCAGCACCAGTCCAGCCCTACAGCCTTAGCCAGCCAGGCACTAGCTCAGTGACACCTCGCTGGCAGAACTTTGTCACCCATCAGAGTCCTTGGCTCACTGAGAATTACCAAATAATGTCATGTCCCTGACTCATCTTCTAGTCACGATCCTATCAGCTTGAGGGTTCGGCGGTAAACCGTTGTCTGCCCTCACACTGTACCTGCAGACCCCTCTGGAAGGACCATGTCTTCCTGGCTGAGTCTCCTTCCCCCAGGCCGCAGACTAGAGCTGACCCTCACACTGCCTCCCCCTCTGCCTAAAGGCCTGCTCTCACACCTGGATCAGATCTGGATTCCCAGCCAGCCCAGATGGAAATAGGGGCTCCTGGAATCTCCATGGCCTTGGGCTGGTAGCCGTCTCCTAGAAAGCCCAGCCCTTTCACTCGCTCACTTTCCCCCGTCCCAGCTCTGGCCTCTGAAGCTGCTCGCGCTTCCTTCCAGGAGCTCCCGGCACATTGCCCGTGGGAGCCACCAAGGCCTGGGGTCAGGCCGCCAAGTGTGAGAAAGGCACGGTCACACCCAGGGTCCTCCCCTATCCCGCCACGGTCCAGCCGCCGCCAGCCACCATGCCGCCGGCGCACCGAGCCCGCACTCACTCTCCTCCGGCAGTTCATAGTCCTCCGCCTCGCGCTCCATCTGCTGGCACCAATGCTCCAGCTTTTCCACCTCCGCCCTCAGCATCTTGATGAACCACTCGCCATCCCGTGGGCAGGGGGACGTGCGGCCTGAGTCCGGGAGGCTACGTGAGCCGCGCTCCATCCAGGAGTCGCGGCGCCCGGACCCGGGGCCGGGGGTAGGGGCAGGGGCAGGGCCGGGCGACCCATCGGTGGCCGGCGGCTCGTACGGCAGTGGGTAGCCCTCGCGGTAGGCCCACTGGCCCTGCGTGTGGACCGTGCGGAAGACTGAGTAGGTGGGGGCCCGGGGCCCGGGCTGGGGCTCAGAGGCGTGCCTCTGGAAGGAGCGTCCGAATTGCAGGGCCTTGTCTTCTGTGGCCACGGTGGCCAGGCCGGCCAGGCCCTCCAGCTCCAGGTCAGCCTGCACGCCGGCTGTCACACTGTTGGAGCGCTTGAACCTCGCCCGCCTGGTGAGAGAGGTGGCGGTCATCCCTGCCCCTGCCCAGTCTCACCCCAGCCCTCACCCGCACCCCAGGCTGAAAGGACAAGGAATGAGACAGGAAACCTACAAAGTGATGGACAGTCATCTACCACCTTTAAATGCATCGGTCCTCTCTACAGGTGAGCACATAATATATCTACCTGTTGCACCAGTTCTGGACAGGGGTGATATTCAAAACCACTTATACTCGATGGGCAGAACAGAGGCTGGCATATACCAATCGGACAGACATAGCCAAAGTGCTAGGGCATCACCCTGCAGAAGCTGGGCTGAGGCCCACAGTCACCCAGCTGCAAAACAGCAGAGCCAGAATGTGGACCCAGGGCTGCCACGCTCCACAGCCCAGGAACTCCTCACCACACCAGCTGCTAGAGCATCGGGAAGAACTGTCTTAGAGCAGCTGGGGGAGGAGGGTGGGCAGGAGCTGGGAGGACTTCTCCTCCGGGGCCCCAGGGCTCAGCACAGAGCCTGGCCAGACAGTCGGCTGGTGCCAAGAGAGCTGAATTAAGTTGTTGACAGGAACGATACAGGGCCTGGAAATTTCTTGTCTTTGAGTTAATAATATGCAAATCTTATGCAAAACAGAGTCAATTAGCCTTGTTATCCCCCTTGACCCCCCCACCCGACTGAGTTCAGTCAGAGTGAGGGCTCTTTTCTACGAAGAAGTCACTTCCCCGGAGGGGCAGGAGGTTGGGGTCAGACAACACTGGAAGAAGGGGGAGTCGGGAGACGCGGGGGTGGCAGGGAGAGACGAATAGAAGTTTGCAGTCTGGACATTCAGGGAGCAGGCAAGAAAAGCCCAGGTGTCTTAAGCTACCTTCACTCTCATGGTCAGAAGAAAAAGGGGGTTGGGAGCTAGGTTTAGGGGCTCCTCCAGCTTCCTGGGAGACTCCCACAACCCCCACAACTTCAGTCTTCCTCTTGCTGCCCAGGCCTTCTTTCCCTGCCTGCTTTGCCTGCCTGCTTCCCTCCAGCTGGCGGGCTGCCTGCTGGGAGCCTGTTGCCATAGAAACCAGGCCCGGAAGGATGTGGCAGGACCCAGGAAAGAGAGATGCACTCATGTGCAGTCTCCAACCAGCCCTATGTCCCAACCCCCACCCGGAGAGAGAGAAAGCAAGAACATATCCACATGGCCTCCCACATGGTCTTCACCTTGCCGCCTGCCCTGTCTTGCCCTGGTCAGGACTTGCATCATTCTTACCTTGACTACTGGATCAGCCTCCTTTTAGACACCACTGCCTCCACTCAGTATAGCAGAGACGAGCACCGGACTAGAAGGCAGACCTGAGTTCCAATGCTGGCCCTGATGCTATGTGCCTTTGGGAAGTCACTCACCCTCCCCCCAGACCACCTAGTATATAATATATGTATATGTGTATATAAAATACATTATATGGCATATATGAATATATATTACATATAAACACACAAACATATATGATATAAAATGATAGGAATGGAGCAGTACCATTGCCAAGGTACCTCCTTTCTCTAAAATTATACTTTGCAGGTGGGGGATAAGTGTAATAGGCAAGGGAAATTAAGAGGGACAAACTTCCAGCTACAAAATAGTATAAATAACTCACAGGGGTGAAATGTACAGCATGAGTAATACAGTCAATACTATTGTAGTAACTTTATATGGTGACAGATGGTAACTAGACTTATCGTGGTGACCACTGCAATATATATATAGTGTATGGAAATACTGAATTTTTGCACCTGGCACTGCACAGCATTGTAGGTCAATTATAGCGCAATAAAAATAATAAAATAATTTTTAGATAAAATAAAATTATACATTTTTAAAATTATATCTTATACAATTATACCTACGCATATTTTAGGATCTGGGGCCCAACTTTCCCTCACCAATCCACCCAGGACTAGAATAGTCTTTCTTTCTTTAATACTTATTTACTTATTTGGCTGTGCTGGGTCTTAGTCAAGGCACAAGGGATCTTTATTCTGAAGTGCAGGATCTTTAGTTGTGGCATGAGAACTCAGTTGCAGCATGTGGGATCTATTAATAGTTCCCTGACCAAGGATCGAACCTGGGCCCCCGGCATGGGGAGTGCAGAGTCTTAGCCACTGGACCACCACGGAAGTCCCTGGAGTAGTCTTTCTGAAGCTGACCTCTGCCCAACTCATTCCCCTGCTCAAAACCCTATCATTGCTCCCCACTGCCAACAAGATAGAGTCTAGGCTTCCTGTGCTGACATTTACTCTGGATGCAGTTCTCTCTGATCTCATCCTGCTTGCACGCTCTTTGCTCCCCGAGTGGATTCTCGTGGCCCTTACGTTAGCCTCTGCATTTGCTATCCCCCCACTTAAAAAGGCCTTCCTCCTCCTCACTCCCTGTTGGTTCCCAGCTCAAGTTCCCTCTTCTTCTGTGAGCCTTCCCGAGACCATCCTTGGAACCATTCCTCTCTCAGCTGTCTTCTTGCACACGGAGGCAATCCCACACTTTAGGGCTTCCCAGGAGGCTCAGTGGGTAAAGAATCTGCCTGCACTGCAGGAGACTCGGGTTCCATCCCTGGGTCAGGAAGATCCCCTGGAGAAAGGCATGGTAACTCACTTCAGTGTTCTTGCCTGGGGAATCCCATGGACAGAGCAGCCTGCCAGGCTACAATCCCTAGGGTGGCAAAGAGTCAGACACGACTGAGCACTCATGCATGCCACTGTTTGGTTACATTGTTCTGTTTCTGGTGAGAGTTCTGTGTCTAACTGAACTATTAGGATGCCCTTTGGCTTCCTTTGAATATTTTTGTGCTTTGAGCTCCAGTTATTCTCTGGCTCCTTCAGTGCTCCAGCAATGGCAAACCACACTGGGAAAGGTAAATACACTAGTAAAGATATGCCTTCCTTATTTGCTTTCCTGTTGCCCCAACAAAGCATGGACATGTCCTTTGGTAACTGTGCCTTTCACTCTCCTCTGAGAGGTCCTGAGAAGATCACTCTGTGTCTTGATGGAAACAGGCCACACAGTCTGGAACTTCAGAAGCCTGAATGCCCCAGGCTACATCATTCTCAAGTCAGTACCTCAAGGAGCTCTCTCATCGTGTCTACTTGAAGAAGACCAAAGAAATTGAGGAGCTTATAGGATTACTGGAAACAAAATCTTTACCAACACTTCCAGCCAGGAGCCAGAGATTTGCACAGCGCAAGCAGGAATTGGTCATCCTTGAGCAAGTGGCACTTAAAACTAGCAGTGTAGGACTTCCCTGATGGTCTGACGGTTAAGAATTTGCCTGCCAGTGCAGGTGTTTGATCCCTGGTCTGGAAAGATTCTGCATGCCGTGGGGCAACTAAACCCATGCCCCACAACTGCTGAGCCTGGGTTCCTTAGAACCTGTGCTCCGAAACAAGAGAAGTCACTGCGATGAGAACTGCAGGCACATCAACCAGAGAGTAGTCCCCACTTGCCGCAACTACAGAAAACCTGCTCACAGCAACGAAGACCCAGCGCAGCCAAAAATAAATCAACAATTTTAAAAATAAAACCAGCAATGTGGGATAAGATTACCCAAGAAAAGAGCAATGGAACAAAGATGCCCTGGGAACACAGACATTTCAGGGGTTGGTGGAGACAGTGTAGCCCCAGATGTGTCTAAGCCAGAGAGGAAAAGGAAGAAAATCAAGAGAAAGTCACCTAAAAGCAGATAGCAGACCAAAAAAGTGGGGAGCCCCCCAAAAAAGGGTCTCAATAGGGAATGAGCAGCCAACTGGAAAATGCAACCAATTGAGAACAAAAGGTGTTTACTGACTTGGCAACATGGAAGCCACTTGTGATCAGTCAGTTTGGTGGAGTTTGAGGGCAAATGCAGAGGCAAGAGGCTGTTAGAAAACTGGGAGTGTGTGCTTGAGCACTCAGTCATGTCTGACTGACTCTTTGCAACCCTATGGACTGTGTAGCCCACCAGGCTCCTCTGTCCATGGGATTCTCCAGGCAGGACGTAGAGAAAACTAGGCAAGACAATGGGCTTCCCTGGTAGCTCAGTGGTAAAGAATCCGTCTGCAATTCAGGAGACAGAGGTTCCATCCCCAGGTCGGGAAGATCCCCTGGAGAAGGACATGGTAACCCACTCCAGTATTCTGGCCTGGGAAATCCCATGGACAGAGGAGCCTGGCTGGCTACAATCCATGGGGTCACAAAGAGTCAGACACGACTTAGCGACTAAACCACCCCCACCACCAGGCAACTCCCAGAGAGCCTGGTGGAGAAGGGAGGAAGAGAGAAGGCAATGTACTTTTAAGGAAGGGATAATATGATTATCTGGCAATTATATCTCAATAGGACTGGGAGGAGGGACATTCTGTTGAGGATGGTTCTCACATGCTATATCCCTATGGGGCAGGCAGAATAATGGCCCCCCCAAAGAAGTCCAGGTCCCAATTCCCACAACCTGTGAATATGTTACCTTCCACAGCAAAAAAGACTTTGCAGAAATGATCACATCAAGGATCTTGAGATCCTACACTATCCAGTTGTGTACATTTTAGTCAAAAGAGTTCTTGTAAGTAAAAGAGGGGAGCAGGAAAGTCAGGATCAGAGAAGGCAATGGGACAACAGGATCAAGGCTGGAGTGACATGTGAGGACTCTACCCGCCACTGCTGGCTCTGAAACCAGAAATGGGCTACAAGCCAAGGAATGCAGACAGCCTCTCTAAACTGGAAAAGGTGACAAAATGGATGCTTTCCAGAGACTCCAGAAGGGATCAGTCCTGCCAACACCTTGATTTTAGCCCAGTGAAACCCAATTGAGACTTCCAACCTCTAGAAATGTAAAATCATAAACATGGATTATTAGATGCTGCTAAATTTGTGACTATATATCCTATCAGCAATAGGTAACTAATGCAATTTGTAAAGAGAAGTCAACTGAAGCTAGAGAAGAGAGGCAGTAATCCAAGGATCAGATATGAGGAGAATAAATAAAAATGAACATCCTCTGAACAGTTCAG